AATATATATTTGTATATATATTAATATATATTTGTATATATATTAATATATATTTTGTATATATATTAATATATATTTGTATATATATTAATATATATTTGTATGTATATTAATATATTTGTATGTATATTAATATATATTTGTATGTATATTAATATATATTTGTATGTATATTAATATATATTTGTATGTATATTAATATATATTGTATGTATATTAATATATATTTGTATGTATATTAATATATATTTGTATGTATATTAATATATATTTGTATATACATATATAGATAGAAATACACGTATACATATACTTGTATATACACTTATGTATGTTTGTATGTATATATATATAAGTATTTACATATATATATATATATATACATACACATATAAAGACACACACACACGAATGTATGTATATGTATATGTGTGTGTGTGTGTGTGTGTGTGTGTGTGTGTGTGTGTGTGTGTGTGTGTGTGTGTGTGTGTGTGTGTGTGTGTGTGTGTGTGTGAACATAATAAACTCTGACATACTACATACGAATACCATAATCCTAAACCAAAAACCGAGATATTGTGTCAGTTCTTACTTTGGCTCTTGTTCAGCGAAATCTCAGCAGAGGTTGCAGAAACGGCAAAATGCAATGCTCGTATCCACCTGTTTGGAGATGCGGTGTATTAGCTAGTTTCTGCAGGCAGGTGGAGTGATACTGGTTGGTAGTGATTTGTATGAAGAAGTAGGAAGGAGGGAGGGAAAGAGAGAGAGAGAGAGAATGTGGGAAAGGGGAAGAAAATGGGTGAGAGTAAGTGCTATCGAGAGAAAAATAGAGAGACAGACAAACTACTTAATCACTAATTACATGCATTGCCTTCATGTGATCTAAAAGCCCACTTTAAGGTATTCACACGTTATTTTCTCCATTTCAAACCACTTGATCCAAATTACCAATCCAGTACTTGAACGATTATGACAGTCATTAATTCATAAATGCTACGTGAAATAACCTTTTCAACAGTAAAAGTTTACAGAGTCACCCACCCTCGACATCATATATATATTCATAGGACACTTATTCACATTTAAAAAAAAAGATCACTTAAATCACAGACAGAAGAGCTCAAAAGATAACCCCATATCCTGAACAAAACTTACCTTGGTTCACAAGAAAACGGTTAACTATGATGCCAATTTCGTGTAATGGTTTCGGAACTCCTTTCCATGTCTCCCCTATGATGTTTCCTCAACCTCGTCCCATACAATACTTCCACTGGGTGTTCGCCTTCCCTCCCGGATGCCCTTCCAGACGCCAGCCATCCTCAGGGGCTCGACCGCATTTCCTCCCCTCACCATTCACTGGGTCTTCGTCTTCGTTCCTGGATGCCCTTCCAGACGCCAGCCATCCTCAGGATCTCGAACATTATTCCCTCTCCTTTCACCGGGTGTTGCCCTTTCCTTTCTCTCTTTTAACTCTCCTTTTCTAGTTCCTCTTCTTCGCCACTTTTTCCCCGTCCATGGTCCAGGAAGGTGTTGCGAAAAATATATATATTTACCATTAACAATTTATGCAAAAATAAATAAATAAATAAAAAATGATAATAATAATCTAATGCAGTTAATTTTTTGTGCAATGCAGGTAAATTACCAATAAAATATTGATAGGATTGTCACGCAAGAGGTGTATAACATTAATCACAAAGAAAATTGCTCATGTAAGTAATTTTCATCACATTTAAAAGCAAGTTGATCCTCTTGATACATTTATCACAGAAACATTTTATATACTTATAAATATTTCGGTAAAGAAAAATAAAAAAATCTATATCCATAAAAGCAACTAATTCTAATATCACTCATATATCATTATGTTCACCATTTTACTAATATCACTATTTATTTATTTTTTAACTTCCAATAAAAAAGGGGCATAAAATTCAAATACAAAGACCCAATATCCTTGCACTTTGTCACTTACTTGTTTGTGAGATAAAGATGTGCATTTTTTTTTTTTTTTTTTTAAGGATGGCAATATGACGATTAATTATCTTGATTACATAATATCATCACATCATTTGCATTTGTCATCATTTCTTTTCTTACTGTTAATCCTCTGTTGCTGTCTGTTTGTAAGTTGTTTGTGTGTGTGCGTGTTGTTTGTTGTGTGTTGTGTGTGTGTGCGTGTTGTTTGTTGTGTGTTGTGTGTGTGTTGTTTGTTTGTTGTTTGTTGTGTGTGTGTGTGTGTGTTGTTTGTTGTTTGTTGTGTGTGTGTGTGTTGTTTGTTGTGTGTTGTGTGTGTGTGTGTGTTGTTTGTTGCGTGTACATGTATATGGCAGTGCATCTATAAGTGCCTATTATGTGTGTGTGTGTTTGAATAGATATATATTATCTGATATGCAATGTATATTAAAAATATTTCTGAGGAAAGACAGATTGATTTAAAGACAGAGTAGATAGGACAGGACATATAATAACAAATAATATAGACAGCTATGTTTTTATTGAATAAGCTACACTTAGGAATAAATAATATTTTAGTAATATTTTACTTTATAGCTTTTTTTCCTCAAAGAAGAAAAATAAGCATAAAGTCATTTAATCTCTCTCTCTCTCTCTCTCTCTCTCTCTCTCTCTCTCTCTCTCTCTCTCTCTCTCTCTCTCTCTCTCTCTCTCTCTCTCTCTCAAAGCCGTACATTAAATCAAGTAGCTTAACAAGCAAATATATGTGTGTATATATATATGTATATGTATATGTATATGTATACACATATATGTATATATATATTTATGCATGTGTGCGTATGTAAATATTCGTGTGTGTGTGTGTGTGTGTGTGTGTGTGTGTGTGTGTGTGTGTGTGTGTGTGTGTCTGTGTGTCTGTGTGTCTGTGCGGGTGTGTGTGTGTGTGTGTGTGTGTGTGTGTGTGTGTGTGTGTGTGTGTGTGTGTGTGTGTGTGTGTGTGTGTGTGTGTGAACATATTAATAAACTCTCACATACTACATACGAATACCATAATCCTAAACTAAGAACCGAGATATTGTGTCAGTTCTTACTTTGGCTCTTGTTCAGCGAAATCTCAGCAGAGGTTGCAGAAACGGCAAAATGCAAAGCTCGTATCCACCTGTTTGGAGATGCGGTGCATTGGCTAGTGGTTGCAGGCAGGTGGAATGATACTGGTTGATAGTGATTTGTATGAAGAAGTAGGAAGGAGGGAGGGAAAGAAAGAGAAAGAGAGAGATAAGGTGGGAAAGGGGAAGAAAATGGGTGAGAGTAAGTGCTAGCGAGAGAAAAATAGAGAGACAGACAAACTACCTAATTACCAATCATATTCATTGCCTTCATGTGATCCAAAAGCCCATTTTAAGCTATTCACACGTTTCTTTCTCTATTCCAAAAGTATATCAATTTGATCCAAATTACCTTTCTAATACTTGATCTTTTATGACAGTCGTTAATTCATAAATGCTACGTGATATAACCCTTTCAACAGTAAAAGTTTACAGAGTCACCCACCCTCGACATCATATATATTCATAGGCCACTTATTCACAGTTAAAACGATCACTTAAATCACAGTCAGAAGAGCTCAAAAGATAACCCCTTTTCCTGAACCAAACTTACCTTGACTCACAAGAAAACGACTAACGGCGGTATCGCGAACCACGCAATCTTGACCAGCAAACTGTGATGCCAATTTCGGTTAATGGTTTCGGAATTCCTTTCGAGGTCTCCCCTGGATGTTCCTCAACCTCGTCCCATCTAGTCCTTTTACTGAGTGTTCGCCTTCACCCCTGGATGCCCTTCCAGACGCCAGCCATCCTCAGGGACTCGAATGCATGATTTCGTCCCCTCTCCAATCACTGGGTGTTCGCCTTCCCTCCTGGATGCCCTTCCAGACGCCATCCTCAGGGTCTCGAACACATGATTTCTCCTTTCACTGGTTATTGTCCTTTCCTTTCTCTCTTACTTTTAATTCTCCTCTTCCACTTCCTCTTCCACTTCCTCTTCTTCGCCACTTTTTCCCCGTCCATGATCCAGGAAGGTGTTGCAAAAAAAACAAAAAAAAAAACATTAACAATTTATACAAAAAATGAAAAAAATCTAATGCAGTTGATTTTTTGTGCAATGCAGGTAACTACCAATAAATTATTGATTGGATTGTCACGCAAGAGATGTATAACATTAATTGCAATAAAGAAAATTGCTCACGTAAGTAATTTTCATTACATTAAAAAACAAGTTGATCCTGCAGATACATTTATCACAGGCACATTGCAAATGCCTTTCCTAATCCTATATGTGTATATACTTATATATATTTCGGTAAAAAGAAAATAAAAAACCTATATTTCCCGTAAAAGCAACTAATTCTAATATCACTCATATATCATTATGTTCACCATTTTACTAATATCACTAATTATTTATTTTTTTTACTTCCAATAAAAAGGGACCCAATATCCTTGCACATTGTCACTTACTTGTACGTGAGATAAAGGTGTGTTTTTTTGTTTTTGTTTTTGTTTTTTAAGGATGGCAATATGGCGATCATTAATTATCTTGATGACATAATATCATCACATCATTTGCGTTTGTTATCATTTCTGTTCTTACTGTTGATCCTCTGCTGTCTGTTTGTAGGTTGATTTATTGTTGTTTGTGTGTGTGTGTGTTTGTTTTGTGTGTGTGTGTTCATGTGTATGGCAGTGCATCAATAAGTGCCTATTATGTGTGTCTTTGAATAGATATATACAATCTGATATGCAATGTATATCAAAAATGTGTCTGAGGAAAGACAGATTGATTTAAAGACAATAGATAGGACAGGACATATAATAACAAATAATATATATACAGCTATGTTTTTATTGAATAAGCTACACTTAGGAATAAGTAATATTTTTTGTAATATTTTACTTTATAGCTTTTTTTTCCTCAAAGAACAAAAATAAGCATAAAGTCATTTAATTCTCTCTCTCTCTCTCTCTCTCTCATCTCTCTCT